AAGATAATAATTAAATATTCTGTTAGAACTCAATGATTATCCTAATTATATTTGAGATTTTTTATTTTTAAAATAAGATGTTTATCCTGTATTTGATTGTGTTTATCTGCAGTTAGTTACACGAATTCAGATATGAGATGAAATCGGATAGGGATGAACGGGTTTAAGAGTTTTTAAGAGTTTAAGAGTTTAAGAGTTTTTAAGAATTTTAGCCAAATGCTTTATAATATAGTATAGATATATATATATATATATATATATATTATTATTATTATTTTAGTGTGTATTAAAATAAACGAAAAAATTAATAGAAATACTTAGTTGATGCTAAACATAGGTTTCATGCGTTAAATTTGCTGAGTTGGCATCCTACATGTGTTTTGAATGCTAATGAATCAAACTTTATGCAGAAAGAGAGAGGGGGTTGTTTCGGGGGGAAATCTCTAAAAGAGGTGATAATCATGTGATTATCACATAATTATTACAAAGATTCTGTTTACGTGATTTGGTGTGATATGATTGTATTAATTATGTGATAACTAACTTCATCAAGGAGATATGAGTGTGATAATCATATGATAATCAATTTCATCTAGGATTACAGTAATATAAAATTTCAAATTGGGATATTTATCACATGTGATAAACATCAAAATTCTCAAATACAAAACTACTATAACATTAAACTCAAATCAACATGTACCAATAACTATAAATCAACTAAAAATGCTAACATTCATAATTTCATGTACTTTTTATCACATGTGATAAAAAAAAACACATATCATTGTAGTTCTGATGATAACACAACCGATTTAGAAAAAAACTATGAAATATTATTGTTGTCACGGTATTATCGAACTTTCATCATCATCAACAAAATTATCTTCAGAAAATTTCAAATTGGGATGTTTGTCACATGTGATAAACATAAAAATTCTCAATTATTAACCTACAACATTCAAATCCTCCATTCTAGATCGAATTTTTTTTGGATACTATGGACCGATGAGAAGAAAAAGATATCAGAAAGTGAAAAGGAAGAAAATGATACAATGAACGTGATCAATCCTAACAAAAAAAGATGTGATGATTCTAATTAATTAAAATAAAATAAAAACTATAAAAAATACCCAATGACATTACTGCCCTTACTGACTTATTTGTATTTAATATAATTTAAATTATTGATTAAAAAAGTTTAAGCTTAGTAGATTGTTCTCGCATTCTCGTAAATAACAGAGGTTCTCGTTTGAACCTCTACCTATGCATATATATATATATATATATATATACATATATAGAGTCAGGTTCAGATGAAAACCTCAAAAAATGAAAAGATGAGGAACAATCGATAACCGTTCATTCTGGATCGTATGCACATGTGCATACAAGTAATTTATAAACAATTTATCCGGTATGCATAGGTATATAACATGTATATGTACATAAAACAAAAAAAACAGTTTTAGTTACTTATATACACATTTGCATACGTTCCAGATTAATGTTTACCAATAAAATTTTCAGTTTTTTACTTTTTTTTTTAGATTTTATCCGGAAACTCCCCGCACCTCTCTCTCTTAACTATTTCCATGTCTATATAATCGTTCATCTTAGACCGTATGCACATATGCATACAAATAATTTGTAAGCAATTTATCCGGTATGCATAGATGTATAACATATACACATACATAAAACAAAAAAACAATTTTAATTACTTATATACACATCTGTATACCATCCAGATTAATGTTTACCAAAAAAAATTTCAATTTTTTACTTTTTCTTTTTAGATTTTATCCGGAACCTCTCCGGAGCGCTCTCTCTCTCTCTCTCAGAGCTTTCCATGTCTATATAATACGTGGACTCTTTTCACAACCTTTGGACCCATTTTTGCAACATATTTTTTGTACCCTTTTTGCAACATTTGAGCTTTTGAAGATTTGACAGAACGTATCCTTCGTCTCCTCATCCTCTTCCCACCATAATCGACCTGTCCTTGTCCTGTCTCACTACATGACGACGACCATGGAGAACAGAGCCACAGAGCCGCTTCTCGATGCCGATCACGACGCTAAGACCGCCATTACTTCCTTCCATCATCCGTCAAACGCTTCCTTCTCTTCCTCCTTCGTTGCAGACGCCGATGACATCCCTCCCATCACCGGTATCAACGACTTCTTAATCCAATTCGGAATTGAGTCTAGAAAACTCTGGTTTCTCTCCGGTCCAGCTATCTTCACATCTGTCTGTCAATACTCACTCGGCGCCATCACTCAAACGTTCGCTGGCCATGTCGGAACTCTCGAACTCGCTGCTGTTTCCGTCGAAAACTCCGTCATCGCCGGTTTCTCCTTCGGTACCATGGTTAGTTATCGATTAATTCTCCGTTTTGCTTACCTACGTTTCTGCTAGTTACAAGAAAACGAGTGAGAAAAACTTTTTAAATTGAACGATCTATTTTGTGTAATTTGAATAGCTTCAATCGGTCAAATACGCATGGATTATGTTCTGGAAGAGTAGGTGAAGATTAGTTTTGCTTGTGAGATAGACTAAACGATCTATTTCGTGTGATTTGAAATTTTGAATAGCTTGGAATGGGGAGCGCATTGGAGACTTTGTGTGGACAAGCATATGGAGCAGGTCAGCTGGATATGCTAGGGATTTACATGCAGAGATCGTGGGTTATACTGCTAGTTGCTGCTCTGTTTTTGATGTTTATATACATCTTCGCGACGCCATTGCTCAAGTTGATCGGACAAACGGAGGATATATCAAACGCGGCGGGGGGATTGGCGTTATGGATGATTCCGCAACTCTTTGCTTACGCGCTCAACTTCCCGATCTCTAAGTTTCTGCAAGCACAGAGCAAAATGATGGTGATGGCGTGTATATCGGCGGTGGCGTTAGGTCTGCATACTCTGTTTAGTTGGCTGCTTATGTTGAAATTGGGGTGGGGGCTGGCCGGAGGAGCTCTGATGCTGAACTTGTCTTGGTGGTTCATCGTAGTAGCTCAGTTGATCTATATTTTCAGTGGGGCATGTGGTCGAGCATGGTCCGGGTTTAGTTGGGCTGCCTTCCATAATCTGTGGGGATTTGTTAGGCTATCTCTCGCCTCTGCTATTATGCTTTGGTAAGATATTTCTTCTATCCCTAGTAAATTCTATTCCATACGATTTATCTGATTTCATATGTTCATATGTTCTTCTTCTAATCGATCTCGTTTGCATATATTTTCAAATCATCACAACTTGATTTGATATGAAATAAGAAATCTAGTGGAAATGAGTAATTAAGTGGATGAATTTCGGTCCCAATTTGTACATCATCACAGTAGATTTGACTTGATTCCTTGGTGTTATTGTATCCGTAGGAACGAATTACCATTGAAATTTTCTTGGATTCACTTCAAAATTTGGATGTGATTTGGGAAAGATAAGAAACTTGTAAAAATCTCATAAACGATTCGACATCGAATTCAACTTTACCAATTAAATTTGCAAGTCGTTAATGCTTCATATGTAATGTGATCCTAATTATTTTACTGCAATAAATTATTGAAAATCGTGCATCAACTGCAGCTTGGAAACATGGTATTTTATGGCGTTGGTGCTCTTTGCTGGATATATGAAGAATGCTGAAGCTGCTGTGGATGCACTTTCCATATGGTAAGTATCATCCCTCACCTTCTATTGTTTATTTTTTACTTATTTATGAAATATTCTGCATGAAAAACACAATTGTTTTTTTTGCTGTTTATGATAATGAATAGCATGTGGGCCTTTTTTTTCCGATTGGTCGCACCATTTGTCTATAAAAATAAGGGACTTATAGATATTTTTTACAAAATCATCATTTGTTTGTTGGTTAATTTTTTTTTCATATGACAAATTGTTTTCGAGTATTTTATCCCAAAATTTTATATAAACATAATAAATCTGAAGTTAAAAACTAAGAAAATGATATAAATGAGATTCAAATACGTTATTGGAAGGGGAAAAGAGACCGTACAAGGCAACTCTATCAAAAGAAACCAGTGTTATTATTATAGTTTCAAATAATATACGGTTGTACTCAACAAAATAATAGGGTGACACATTTTACGCCCCTGATTTTTTCACTACGATGGACCGTACCCACATAGCAGCTTTCACAAGTTGCACCTTTTTTTACCATACACCTCATGTTACCAGACAATAATGTGAACTACACGTATTGTGGATGGAGTCATGTGTCTTTAGTCCCATTACTTTTTATGCTTTATTCTTTTCGGTTTGATTTGGAGGAATTTGGATAGAATTATACATCAATTCGGTGTGTGGATCATCAACTTTTCAATGCACGAGCCAAACCCGATTAGTTAAGTAACATACCTTCAATCCGAAATGGAATATACTTTAAATCTCATTATAAATTAACTAATATTTATTACCCTGATAAAAAGGTATATTTTCATTTTCAATGTTGAATCCTTACTTTAAAATAAATTATAAGAGTACTCGCATAATATAGCGAGATACATTTTGATTTTAATGTTTCGTTTTTTTGTCTCAGTTTATGTTATAATACAGTTTTATATGGTTCTGAGAAAATGATAATGTTTTTATTTTTAAATAAACTCTAAATATGAAGATATATCATAAAAATTTGAAAAAAAAATATTGATATTAATACCAAACTAACTATTTAAAATTTCTCATTTTCTATGTATTTCTTTAATTCATTTTTTTATTTTTGGTTTAATAATATAATTTTTATAAAGATAATAATTAAGTATTTTGTTAGAACTCAATGATTATTTTAATTATATTTTAGATTTTTTATATTTAAAATGAGATGATTATCTTCTATTTGATTATGTTTATTTACAGTTAAATACACAAATTCAAATATGAAGCTTTAATAAGTTGTACTTATGTACAATTACTTGTAATCTTGAATTTTTAAAAATATGCATAAATAAACAGTACTTCATGCATAAAAATGGTTTTTAAGAGTTTTTGTCAAATACTTTATAATATAGTATATATATACCAGAAAATTTCACACCGATCACTGATCTAAAAGGGATGAGGTTCTTATAAGAATTTTCCACAATGATAGTTCTTATAATGCACTACACTTTTTGCTAATTAGAACGTTATATTGGAAATGCTTTTAGAACCTTAGCTAAGTTGGTGTACAGTGACTTTTTTGTTGGTTTATCTATATATTTTATTGACTTTAATTAAATCTTGAAAAAGTAAATGGTGTTCTTAATTTGATAAAGGTGAAAATGATTTGACAAACAAAATAAAAAAAAAGTGAGTTATTATAAGAAACTTCATTAAAGATGTCCTTATTAGATTATTGATGATACATGTTGCATCGAGTATAAATCTGTGACAGCAGGTTTCATGCCATTTGTTTTAACATCAAAATATGTGAACTCTTTTAAATAAATGCGTTCACAATCATTCGTTTAGTTTTTTTCTTGTTTTCTTTCTTGCTGGTTCATGGGAACTTGCGCTTACTCTGCTTCACGGTCCCCGGGTCTGATAAGTAAGCACTTGTCATGTCCGGTTTGTTTCCCAGTGCCAATATTTTTTGTTTTTTTTCCTGAACTTTTATTTTATATATATGATATTTACCAAAGCTCACCCTTGACATCTGGTCTAATAACCCGAATACTACTAGCCCAATAATCCTTTGTTTTTCCATTATTCATAGAGATGGTATTTCGCCCATGATTGATTATGTTTATCGGATATGATTCGTTGTTACATATGGATATAAACACTATGACTGTAGCTTAGTGAACTCCAGTTATTAGTTTCAGCTATGTTATACATGCAAATTTTTCTTCCAAAATTAAACATAAGTGATTAGGAACATTATTTAATTGATATTGAATACATAAAATGTCTTTCAATGAAAACAAATCAATAAAGAATCTTAGAAACTAAAAGCATACAACTTATATACTACATGTCATGTGGGATATTATTAAAACAAAGTTATTACATTTATTTGAGAATGGTATTAGAGTAGTTGTACTTAATGTTGTATTTACTTGTACTCTCGTATTTTTGCTTGTGTTAATAAAAGACTGTTTGGTTGGTTTCCGTTAAGTGTAATATGATTTAGAGTTTTCTGTGTGGATTAATCTGTTTATATAGATTAGGAAGATTTTTGTTTGAGATGGAGTTTTCATAGATGGAAGTAATGTGGTTTTTAATTCGAAGCGGCAATTTTAGGAAAAATTTGGTTGTCTACATAAAACTCCCCTAGAAGTTTACTAAACAAACCACTACCAAACAATCATGTATAATTGACTGAATAAGTTGCGAGTCTCATTAAGCTAATTAAACTTCTAACAAACAAAACCTAAGTATGTTAGAGATAGAAGTTTTATATAAAATTATAAATATGCTTGTATAGAATCACTTGGGTCAGATATGAAATACAAAGCAATGGTTTCAACCCCATTCTTCGTCTTATGTATATCCGCAATAAATGAAGACAATTGTCTAGCAAAAGAGTTACGGAAGAAGTTGAAAAATATCAGGATACCTCTCTCCCAAACTCAAAGAAACTAATTGATTTACTAACGTTTAGATCAACTAAAACTATATTGATTTATTAAAATTTAGATCAACCAACTTATTTCAAATGAGGCCCTAACAAAATTAAATTGAAGACTTTTTTTCTTTTTGTTCTAGCCTCCTCAAGGCCCACTCTGGTCTGGTTTATCTTTTTCTTTTGAGTAAATTACGTTTTTGTCCATGTAGTTTGTCAAAGGTTGCTATTCTCATCCATGTGATTTTTGAAATTATGATTTTTCCCATAGTTTACAATTTATTGTTGTTTTAGTCCCTGTATTTTACAATTCATTGCTATTTTAGTCCCTATATTTTACAATTCATTGCTATTTTAGTCCCTTATACATTCATACTAAAAGGTAGAAGTTAGCCTTAGCGATGAAAATAGCAATAAATTGTAAAACATAGGAATGAGAACCTCAATTTCAAAACCACAGGGACGGATTCTGCAATTTTTGAGAAACCACAGGGACGAAAAACGTAATTTATTCTTTCCTTTTTATGTTATTTCTGACTTGTACCAACGGCTGCTTTTCTTGTACTGTTATTTTTTTTCTTTCATTTTGATTTCAAGTCCTTGATAATTCATGATTTTCGTGTTTAAGCTTGTAGAGTCCACTAATTGAGCCGTTTTATCATTTTCGCGTTTAAGCTTTCAATACCTGGATAAAAAAATTGCATTACCAAGGCATTAAAGTTCCTTAAATACAAAGTAAAATGCTTGTTGAGTGTTTTACAACGCTATCACTACCAAAATCTTATAAAAGAAGTCATAATTTACAATCACAAATTATGTAAGATTTGTTAGAATAATAGTTATGACTTTGTGTTTGAACCAACATGATCGTCCACTATGTGTTGCTGCGAGAAAAAAGAAAAAAGAAAGTTGAACATGAAATATTGACTAAAGTACTTGTTTCATCTCCGTGGTTATATGTTTTTAACGGTCTTTATCCTTTTTTTTTAAAATGCATCAGATCATGTTCTTGTGGATGCATTTTTACAACAAATTGAGTCCTTAATGTAACCACAGGGATGTAACTTGTTAAAAAGTGCAACCACAAAGACATGCTATGTTAAAATTTTAAAAAACGGACAAGAACCGTTAAAAACACCTAATCCGTAGGGACGAAACATGTAATTTATTCTAAAGTTTAGTTGGTGTTGTATTATAAATGGTATTTTCTCCTATATTTCTATTTACTTGGGTGTTCAAACGAGAACACCTTCATTTTACGAAAATGTGAGAGCACCCTTTTACTATAGACAATCACATATGATACAAATTTAATACTAAATCAGAGACGTGGACGAGTTTTTGCACGATCTAGTTTGCGAGCGAAGTCGCCCTTACACCACTAAACCCCCTCACATGTAAAATAGCATGTGATAAGGGTGTTTCTAATACTAATCATAGACGCCAACGATCTTTGGCGCAACCTAAGTCGCATAACACGTCTTCCTCACATCACCAGGCTCCCTCACGTGTATTATCACATGTGATAAGGGTGTTCCTGCATTCTTGATGTTGAAGTTAAATACCATATTGTTTATGCAATTTTCCTCAAAGTTGATCTTGAAGATTACAGAATTCATTTTGGTCCTTTTATCAAATTTCTATTTCTGCATCCATCCTACTTATATATTATGTGAAGATGAATCAAGATGTGGCGAGTCTTATCTATTGATGCGAAAAAGTGAATACCAGACCCGTAGAATAAAAATAAAATAAAAGTATAAACATGGATGAAATTATGAGAATATGCGGAGAGAATGGAGGCTCCATAATATACAGAGAAGAATGGAGGCTCCAGAATATACTCTCTGGAAGATCCCTGGAGGAGAGGATGGAGGCTCCAGAATATACAGAGAAGAAATGGTCTAAGGGGCTGTTTGGTTTGTTTTCCGTCAAGTCTTGTATGGATTAATCTGATTATATAGATCGGGAAGGTTTTTGTTTGGGAGGTTTTTCATAGATGGAGGCAGTGTGTTTATTAATTGGGAGGGTTAAGTTTGGGAAAAACTTAGCTTTCCGCATAAAACTCCGCTCTAGAAACTTACTGAAAGGACACTTTCTATATCATTAAGTCACTACCAAATGGTCATGTATAGCTAACTGAATGAGTTGTGAGTCATGAATCTCATAGAGCTACTAACAAACAAGCCCTAAATCTAGCTGATATGGATTCCAACTGAAAAGAAAGCTAACTCGTTTGTACTTGTTTACAGTTGTGAAGCATCATGATCTCTTGTTAAATTAATTCTAAATTTTGCAGCACAAACATTGTGGGATGGGTAGTGATGGTGGCTATTGGATTCAATGCATCTATCAGGTAAAAGTGTAACTAAATTTAATCCGAAGAAACATTATACCTTATATCATATGATTAAAGGTTTTTAATTAATGTGAAGCATGGAATGTTGATTATGGATTCAATGCAGTGTGCGGGTGTCGAATGAACTAGGTGCTGCACACCCCAGAACCGCGAAATTCTCGGTGGTCGTGGTTGTGGTTTCATCATTTTTGATCGGTCTTTTGCTTGCCATCATTCTTATTATCTTCCGACACCAGTATCCAAGATTATTTGCCGACAGCGCAGAAGTTCAACATGCCGTTAACAAACTCACTCCTCTGCTAGCAGCGTGCATCGTGATTAACAACATTCAACCCGCACTCTCTGGTATTGCTTATATGCATTCATTCATTATGGATATGATTATGCTTGTTGAGATTGGAGGGTGATGAATGAGATTAAGAATTCATAAATGAATGCAGGGGTGGCAATTGGGGCTGGATGGCAAGCGTTGGTTGCTTATGTCAACATTGCATGCTACTACATATTTGGCATACCTTTGGGACTTGCTTTGGGTTTTGCAGTGAACTTGGGTATACAGGTGAGTGAGTTAGTAGCTGATATAGTCTTTGCTAAAGGTTTTCGGCAAGTTCCAAACTCTGAGAGTTTGGTACACTGGACAGAACATAATAGGGATCCATGTTCCATGTTTGACAGGACTTTTATATGGAACATACCGGAAATAGAGTGAAACAAAGTGGAACCGGCCTGTTCCATCCTTACCCCATGGAACAGGGTGGAACAAGATGAAATAAACTTATATTTTACCGATATAACCTCATAATAAAACTTAATTCTCTTTTAAAACATCAAAAGATCTCTTTTTTACATTTTATTCATTTTTTAAATTTTATTATTGTATTTTATGATTTTTAAACTTTCATTTTACCGGCCTTAAAATATTATTTTTATTAATTTATGTGATATATTATATATTAATAATAAAAAATAATGTACAAGACTAGAAGAGGGATAAAATAAAAATTGGAAAACTATATGAATTTTTTATTTTGGTGTCGTTTTAATTGTTTTGACGAAAACTTTCTAATGATATATATATATATATATATATAATATTTTAATAAGTTACATAAATTAATTAAAATATATAAACAACCTATTAGGGATAAATTGGTCATTTACCTTGTTCTATTCTGTCCAGTACTGTCTTACCAAACGCTAAACAATTGTTTTCTTATCATGTCTAGACATCAAACACACCTTAAATGGCATGAGGCGTGGTGGCAAGGCCAATCCTCAAGCCTTAGGGCCACACATTTTCAAGCCGTGACTTGTGACAACAAATCTATATATTATATATAATGTTGTATATAAATATATGTTTTCTACTATTACTCAATGATTAAATGATGGCAAACAATTTAAATTAAGTTATATATTGAAAACTAACAAATAAAACATTAAAATATTGTGTTATAAAAACTACGTATTAGGCCATGGTGTGTCACAGACTTAACGTAACATAAGACACTAGCCTTGAGCCACGGTAAGCCACAATGGCTGATACAGCAAGCCTTTTAGAGTAGTGGTTTTCTGAAGAAGAGGTTAATTAATGAGATTAGATATAATTTGATGCAGGGAATATGGATAGGAATGCTGACTGGAACAGTGGTACAAACTGGGATCTTGTTCTGGATGGTTTACGCAACGAATTGGAACAAAGAGGTATCATTTAGATAAGAAAATTTGTGTCCTAAATTTTCATCCCAAATTTTCCTTTTCATCAATCACATGAATATATATCATTAGAGAGAATGCAAACTTGAATAAAATAAATCTAAAATAATATAAAAATCTGAGGTGTCTTGATTTCATTGGTTGGACAAGGTGAGACGTGTGAATAGATTTTTATCGATATTTTCTTATTGTAGAGTAAATTACCTTTTTCGTCCCCATGACTAGTTGAATTTTTCTATTTTTGTCCTTATACTTTTAAATTACGATTTTCATCTTTATGATTTACAATTAATTATTGTTTTCATTATAGTGATTTACAATTCATTGTTGTTTTGTTCCTTGTATTCAGAGGTAGGAGTTTGTTTTAGGGTGGAAAATAGCAGTGAATTGTAACTACAGAAACAAAAACTACAATATTCAACAAACCATTGGGACGAAAAGCATAATTTACTCTTTATTGTATTAAGAATGAGATTACATTTTTCATTCCTGTGGTTTGGTGTTGTTAATGCATCCCATCCTCATTGTGGAAAATTTAACGAAACAAACGAGCTCGGTTCTTATCATTGCATTTCTTTGACAAACAAGTTGCGTCTTTGAATAAATTAACAAGTTGGATCCTGGTAGATGCATTAGGAACACAACTCTCTGGGACCTAGCTTGTTAGTTTCTCAAAAAATGCAATTCAGGTTCTGTTTGTTAGCTTAATTGGACTCTGCCATCTTATTTGGTTATCCATACATAATTGTTTGGTTATGGGTTAGGCTCACGTGAGACCAACCTAATTCTGTGAGGCCCATGAGACCACAAAATAACATTTGAAATTTCACAGCAAAATATTGTAAAGGTACGTTCACAGCAAAAATACTATGAAAGTTACCTTCAAAAAATGTTATTTAGGTGGTCTCATTGATCTTACGAAAACAGTTTGGTCTCACATGATTTTAAGTCGTTTGGTAGTGACTTGATGTTACAGAAAGTTACTTTTTTCCGAACATCCCCTCTGATTTACAAAAATACGCTTCTTTCATGTATATGAAGTATCTCTCCCAATATTATAGAGATTAGTCCGCATATACAACTTTATCCATAGATATGAAAATAAAATGTTAAAGTTGGAATTTAATTGATGTTAATTGTATGGGGGAATGCAGGCCTCCATGGCTGGAAGGAGAATTAAAGAGTGGGGAGGGCATGGAATGATTGGGACAGCAGCAGCAAACGACTTCGCTAGAATAGATGAAGCAGCTAAGCAAGTAGAATGACACGACGACGTCGTCGTCTTATACTCAGTTTGGTGGATAATTTCGAGAAACCGTTAGTCATTCAGCCAGTCGGTCAGTCAGGTACAATTTATAAGTTTGATTCCTTTTTATTCTATAAAAAAATATGATGTTGGAAAAAGAAATAGTAGTATTGTGTTTCTTGTGTTACTTGGGAGGAGGTTTCAATTTGTGAAAAGTGGTTCTATTGTCCATTTTTAGATGGTATCAAGAATTTCATTCATTATTCTCTCTTTTCTATATTTATCCTTTTATATTTGATAGGGGTCCTTTACTAAACGTTTACTTGATAAATGTTTATCGAGTTGATTTACTTTATCGGATGAATATGACAAATATTGAAATCAAAATATCTTTGATATTTATTTATTACAATGAAATAAAAGGAAATACAGATTACATAATATGAAAAATATCTACCTACATTGAATAGATGAAGAACAGAAAACAAGCATGAATGGCTGCAATTATCTCTAGAGAGAAAAGATGATGAAGCAAGAAAAAATGATAAGAATGAGATAAAAATCAGCTTTTAGGGCTCTTTATATACATTTCTTTATAAGCCAACTTTGCCCCCTCCATCTTTGAAATAAATGCTCCGCTAACCCTGATGTTTCCCCAAAAGTGAGGCGCGACCCTTCTCTTTATCAACAAGCAACACTTTATTAAAAAGACCATATCTACCCTGTTCTGTTAAAACAATAACAAATAGAGAACAAACAAGTCAAGTTAGTCAAGATTGCAATATTCATATCTTTTAACAACAAAGACTAAAAATCTTACTCGGTAAGAGTAATGACAATGATCAAAACTTATGCAGTAAGTGAGAATGATGACTCTTGTTTGATAAACACTTAGCAGGAAAAAAATTGTTGCATATGGTGGTGTTTTAATGGACTAAAATCTTACCCGATAAGTTAAGTGAAAGTGTCGACTTCTATTGTGTAAGAGTTTGGTAAACGGCCCCTTAGTGAAAATATATAATTATTGGGTAATTGTTTTGGTTGAAGCAACGTCAACTACTTCTAGTGGTCATTCTATACTCATCTAGCCTCTATCGAATGAAGCATATTAGAGTTCCATAACAACTAGACCTTTTGACATGTATATTTTCTTTAATTACACGTTGGAATGTCCATCCTCTAAAAATAATTCTAATGAGTAATTTTATTAGTCTTCATGTAACTCACTTGATCAACTATCTATCTTCATATTATGAAAGTAAACATCGAATTACAACTTTAAGGTTCCGTTTGGTTTGAAAGATTGGAATTGAATTTTATTCCGATCCCATGTTCGGTTTTTCAAAGGATTTCATAAAATTTGTATGCATTGACGTCTTAAAATATGTTAAAACATTTATTTTGTAGTAATCAATTAATAAAAAGAATAATTTAATTATTTATAATTTGCAAATACAAATTTATTATAAAAAATAGAATTCAATTCCATTTCTATTTCAAATCCTACGAACCGAAGATTCTAAATAAATCCTTCAAACTCAAAATCTCTTCGATTCATAAAATCCAAATTCTCTCAAAAAAGTACTTAATTGGCACATAAATGGGCCTAGTTAATAGTGATGGAGGGGGAATGGGTTAGGTTGATGCAAAGAATATCCAATGCAGATTCATGTCATCTCACCCCTCTCCCATGTCTCTATTCATTTAATCCCTAACATATATTCAACTTGCTGATATAGTTAGTTATATGAATTTTTTTAATTTAAAATTAATTTTCAATCGGTTATCTGAATATTTAAATGTTTAAAACTTTACATTTTAGATATCAAAATAAAAGTTATAAAAATATGTTATCCAAAATATGAATCAAGTTAAATAACGTTATTTTTTCATGTAATTTGTCCTTTTTATTATTATTATTATTATTATTATTATTATTATTATTATTATTATTATGACGAGAGAAAGCAAGAAAATTTATTAAAAAAAAAGGGGAAACAACGGCTGCAAAACCTTTCTGCAATACATAAAAAACAACAGATGACAACGTTTGGTTTGTTGGAAAGATTTTAGAATATAATTGGGTTTGAAATTATTTGAAATCTTTGATATGTGTTGTTTGTAAGATCTAAATTCTATTCTAAAAAGAAATCATTTATAAAAAATAAAAAAAATATTTTTTATTAATTAATTATTATTCAAAAACAAATTTTAAAAGAACTACACCAGAAAAAGAAATTTATCCTTGTCTTCTTTCGATTTCATTAATTATTTAAAGAAATATGATTATTTTATTTAATATTAATTGGCCCAATTCATATTTTAGTTATTATTTAGCAACGGATGATGTATTTTTACGTAATTGATTGGCTGATTAAAAAAGGAATGAGAATTTTAAGAAACGGGGTTAATTTTTTTTTAAGTTTGAACGTCAATCTATTAAACAACATCATCAACCCAAAAACGCGCTTAGTTGAATTCAAAATGTGGATAATAGCAGGTACAAAACTACACAAAGAGGAGGGGTGTAGATACTCTCATTTTACGTTTGAATGTTATGGAAAAAAATTTAGGTTTCCAAAAGGTGCATCTGCTTTAATTCTTGTATACCCTTGTACTTCATGAAACTGAACTAAAGATACAAGTTTATGGTGACAAAGTTGATGTATGTTGTTGTGCCGGGTCCTACCTCTAGAAAGACGACGGTCCGAATTTTGTATTTGTTAAGCTCCTTAATTTTTCATCTGTTAATTTTAATTTTTTGGAAAAACATGGTAGTGAGAAAGGTCAGACTCCTATCCTTACACAGAAAAGAAACCCAACCAACAGATCCATAGTATTCTTACAAAAAACTATACATTTAATTCTTATAATCAAATAATATTACCGTTTAAAAATTTCATGGGTCCATCTATAGGTCATAGTTAAATACTCAAACTAAATGGTTGTTTGACAATTGCTGAATGGTTTGATGTAGAACGATTAAGAGGCTTTAATGATATAATGCAAAATGAAATATAATTGTTCGGTAATTGTTTACAATGAAATTATGGTGTTGAATGGTTAAAGGAGACACATGATACAAAATCACTCAAAATGTTTTAAAACCATCAAGAGATAGATCTTTTGAAGTCAAACAAGATTCACCTCTTACTGATTTAAAGACTGTCTCTTAATGAAACTATTAAAAAGTAAACAAACAGCCCATAAACCTTATGGGATTACCTCAACTTGCAATAAAATTTGGGTATTTGGATTTTTTTTTTCTTCTCACAAGTCACTAACTCGAATCTTGCAAAACCATGTGGAATTCTCATGGCTGTTATTAAAAACCCCTGAGATTAATTGACAGATACCCACGACTAACAAAAAAACACACAAACTATTAAACAACCATCAAGGTTGAAGATAAAATTTGAACTCGAACTCGAACTCGAATACAATTATAAAAGGAAAAATGAAAAAGTAAAATTCAAATGTTAGTTGCACCCAACCCCAAAAACCCTTTGTTAGTACACAAAAATTAGGTTTAATGGCTAATCAATTGAACTATAAACAGGAATTTTTGGTTGTTGTTTTGGGATCATGAATTGGGTTCCCTTGCAAACATTAAAGATTGTTAATGGCCATAAATACTTGTGTATGATACAAACCACCAACAAATTAGGTTTCAATACCTTTCTTTTTTTGAGATTTTTCTAAATATCTTTTTTGTATGATGTGTTAGGTGTAGTTTGTTAAGTTGGTCTTTTTTTAATAAGCAACATTTTGTTTATTTTTATTAAATTTTTTGTGTTTGTAGTTTGAAAAATATATCTGGTTGAATTCCAACCGGATCTGTATGGGTTTGGAATTGGATTTCATTCCAATCATGTGTTTTGTTTGAAAGGAAATAGATGGATTACAATGGAATCCCACGACTAAAATGGGATGTTTCTTGGAGACGACTATTGTTTTAAATACAGATCCCATGGATTTCAGTTGTTTCTCTTGCATCTTCTGTATCCCGCCTCTTTCATCGAATTTCCCCTGATTTCTTCATTGTCGACATCCAGTCTTCTTGATTCTCTCGAAGCGTAAGTATGATCGATCCTTGTATCTCTATCTCTATTGCGATTTCTTGTACAAATGATATTAAATTACATTCCACATCATATAAACCAAATACACATGTAAGATTGAGAACGTTCAAAATTCAAAAACCTTCCTTTAAATACAAATCCTTAAAAAACATTTTGTCAAACCAAATAGGTCGTTAGTGCCTTGTCTATGTTGATCTCATTTTCTTTCTTTTGATTTTATCGTTTTTGTGAAAATCAAGATTAAGTTTCTTAAGTAGTATTAAGCGTATCCTGATAGTTTTTCTAAAATAGAGAATTAAAACTCAAGGTTACAAGTAAAATGTGTATGAGTACATCTTATTAAAACTTCATGTTTGAATTTGTTTAACTAACTGCAGATAAACGTAATCAAATACATGACAAACATCATTTTAAATATAAAAAATTTAAAATATAATTAAGATTATCATTGAGTTCTAACAGAATATTTAATTGTTGTATTAAAAATATTATTTTATTAAACCAAAAATTAATTAGTTCGTTTTTAAACTTCAGTTAAATTATAATAAAAAATTGAATTAAAGAAATTACATAAAAACGAAAACTTTTAAATAATTAATTTAATACCAATATCACTTATTTTTTTTCAAAATTTTCTAATATCTTCAAATTTATATTTAATTTGAAGATAAAAACATTTTCTTTTTTTTTAAAACCATATAAAAATAATATTATAACATCAATAGATCCAAAATATATAACAAAACATTAAAATAAAAATATATTTTGTTGTATTACATGAATATTCTTCTAGTTTATACATAAAAAAATTTAACATATAAAAAGGTATTGTAATATTATAATAATATAGTGGATTAAAAAAATTAAAAAATCTTTTAAAAATTAGATGTAATATTTTAAGCAGTGATTCTGAATTTTAAAGAAATTTTGCCACAAAAAGGATGGGGTGCAGAGACATGAATGGATGGCGTGACACGTATGGTGTTACACACATCTCAAAAAATGCATGGCCTCCAATATAAGAGAAGCAAATACATGTATGTACGTGTCAATCTGACTCACATCCTACTAGACACCCACTCTACACGTGTAACCCAATCCTTTTTCCATTTCACATATTTTAACCAATTTTTTTTCCCTTATTTAAAAATCAATTTTTGAATCATTAAAAGATGAATTTTGTTTGATAAAAAAAAATATATCTCTTAAT